GAACTTAATGTCTAACTTCAACCAATTCACCATATTGATCCACCATCCACCATTACCTTCAGTCAGTAATTGCCTCACAACAGATGCAGTTCTACTCCATTGGTCACTGTTTCTGTTTTATACATTTATGATGAACATTTTTTTCAGAAGGGGTTTTGTGGAGATTGTAATAATTTCAATGATTAAGATCATGAGTCAACATATGCCCACTAGTGACTGGCTTCAAGAGGTATATCCTGGAGCTCTAGTGAGAAGTAGTGACCAGTGGAGTTCAACCAAGTCTGTTGTGAGATAGTAACTCACTGAAGACAATGGTGGATGTGTAGCTCAATTTGGTGGATTAGTTGAAGTTAGACATTAACACCGTTGAATGCCGGTTGGTTCAGTGGTCTATTGGTTAAGTGCTCGCGCGCGAAACTAGTAGATCCTGGGTTCAAATCTCGCGGGTGGCGAGGTCGTGGATGCGCACTGTTGACGAGTCTTACAATAGGACGAAACGTCCATCCAGTGCTTCTAGGTTTCCCATGATGGTCTAGCTTCAGCTGACTCATGATCTTAATCATTGAACATTTTTTTAATTGGAAAGTTGAGTTATCAACAGTAAAATTACTCAGTAGTCCGATACAACTCGTTCAATACAGGAATATAATGGATTCAAATGTATCTAATTAAAATTGTAAAATTTAGGTTTTGTCCTGATCGGGTTAACTTTTAACCATGATCTACAATCATATTAATAGGGATAAATCTATATTTGATAGAGTTGTTAATGGTTATAATTCTGTATTCATTCAATGGATTATATTCATTATCGTTTCGAGTAGATCCACGTTGAATTGAATAGGGATACTGTAAGAGATTTTATGAGATACTGATTTTCAGAAAAAAAAAACACATCCATGTTGCCGCTTTTAATCGATACAAAACTTCATAGACGCTAAAGGTCGGAGGATGATAGATGGGTCACATATTGTTGCAAATCTGGATCTAGATCGTTCCATCAACTTTTGAATATTATTATGATTTGTGTTAGGGTGATCCGGAAAACTTCTGGCAAAAAACAAGAAAGGATCAGGAAAACACTAAGAAGCATTTTATCCAATCAGTGTTCACTTGAAGTTTTAGCCAGAAACATCAAGAAAGTAAAAATACACATGTAGAGTTTCTGATTGACTGCTACTATGTTTACTAGCATTCCAGAATCTTCGGGAAATCCAAGGACATCTAAAACACTATAAAAACCCTATATTTTCTGTACTAAAACGAACCTTTGGAGTAAAGTGCTTTTCACATACTTTGCGCTTTTTCTCTCGTGTTCAGGTCGCTGTATTGTAGTTCTAGCTTGAGGGTTACGAGAATAGCTTAGGAACCGAATGTACCGTTTAATTAGCAAGACCTATCAATTCTCCAGTTCGATTCATACGCTTTATCATCGCTTGCTCAATAGTTTTTACAGAGTTAGATGAACTAATAGTTTATAACTTTGGATAGGTGAAAAAAATCACTTGCAAATACCTTCCCTTTTATTGGCATTTCTTACTTGTTCCTATGACAGTTTGTCTTTTCTGGCATTGCAATTACATCTAAAGTGTATGAAATCATTCGATCTATCACCACACCTCTTCAGTTTCAGATGATACGATATCATGTCAGGCTAGATAGTTTACTTTGTACCACTTTAATGTTTAGTAATCAATATGTTTATTTTTGTTAAATAGATTATATTGATAATATGAACCTATTTTACTGTTGGTGACTAACGTTGTAGATGGTTGAAAGAAAGTTAGGCTCGACCAAACCAAAACGTGGAATCAGTCCTCAAAGTTACTGACTTGTGTATTTTCCGGATCCTCCCCCCTCTAATTTCAGAACAATAATAAGCACGTGTGATTATCGTAAGCGCGATAGTTGGAGACTTTGAATGATATGGATCAAAATCGTTTGCAATGGAGCAAGTTTATCCAATCTCTGTCCTCCTCTAAATTCTGATATTCTTAAATCCTCATGACTCTTTCTGTTTTCCTTCCACTAATATGTACTCTCTACTCGAATCGTATCTTCGATGCCTGATCTTCTCTTTTACCACTGATACCATTACTACCTCTACTATTCTAGGATTTGGCCTGAAAATCTCATCTCTTTGAGCTAATGAGGTATGGCAATTGGAACCGAGGTACATGCGTACCAGATTCTATGGTGTGACTGACTGACTGACCGGACTGAGTGATATGAACAGATATCAAATACAGTAAAGAAATTCTGTACTAAAACAATGGTTTATGTTGTTTCCCTTATTTATCCTCTAGACTTTGTGGTCGAGTCCTATTAGACTTACTTATTTACACCTGTTAATCCTTGTGAAGGAGCATAGGCCGCTCACCAACATATTCCACCCAATCCTGTCCTGGGCAATTCTTTCCAGCTCTTTCCAGTTGTTATTTTCCCTTTTCATGTCTGCTTCTATTTCCCGACATGATATGTTGTTTGGCCTTCCTCTATTTATTTTTTCAGTTCAAACTCCATAATGATCTTATACTGCCCTACATGACTTGTTCAATTTAAATAGCTTTATAATATTTCATATATTAGAACCATCAATATAGGGTTATGGAGATTAGTAACATCATTGGATGGCGGCCAGCTCAGTGGTTTAGAGATTAAGAGTCCGTGCACGAGACTTCAGGCTCTAGGTCCGAGTCCCGCAAGCGGGACCGTGGATGCGCACTATTGAGGAGTCCTACAATAGAACGAACCGGCCATCTATTAGAAACCTGAAAGAAACTACTTTTTAATGCTGATAACTAGTTACTAAATGTTCATCTAATTGTAATCATTTTTGTATTCTATAAATTAAGTTGTAATATGTAGCTATTAGTTTAAATGACATGAAATCATATGAATTGCTTTAATCCTGGATGATTGAAAACAGTCAAGCTATAACTATGAACTTAAGTTTTTCACTAATTAATACTCATCTTCAAGAAGATAGATCTACAATATTGAAGTAGTACTTTATATAGATGTTTAACTTACATTGTTCAGTAGATGATTCAAAGATATTATAACGGAACTATTTAGTTCATAGTAGATCATCAGTAGAATTGAAATGTTTACTTACTAATTTATCAATGAATTATATCATCTATTCTGAACATAATGACATAATCTATACCACTTTACAGGTATAATCAAGTTGATGCAAAAAGGGTTCATTATTTGAGCATAGCAACAAATTTATAGAAGTATTGAAATGATGAATTTTTGTTTTAGTATGGGACTGTTTATTTGTAAGTGCCAACAGCCCTCACACTAAAGATCTAACCCATAACTTACAACCTCCCTTAAATGGGAGGTTTGTAATAAGATTGTTTATATATGTAAAGTCCTTATAATTTCGCTATTGAAGCGGTATCAGTAGGCTTCAACACACATAAGGGAAAAATCAAGATCCTCAAATACAACATGGAAAACACCAATCAAATCACACTGTATGGCAAAACTCTGGAAGATATAAAATCCTTCACATACCTGGGAAGCATAATTGATGAACAAGAATGATCAGATGCAGACGTAAAGGTGGGGATTGGCAAAGCAAGGGCCACATTTCTACAATTGAAGAACAGATGGAACTTAAAACAACTTTCAACTAATATCAAAGTCAGAATCTTCAATACGAACATAAAGACAGTCCTACTCTACGGAGCTGAAATATGGAGAACTACTACAACAACCATCAAGAAGGTACAAGTATTTATGAACAATTGTCTACACAAGATACTCAATGTCCACTGAATGGATATCATCAGCAACAGCCTACTTTTGAGAAGAACAAACCAACTGAGAGCTGAAAAGGAAATTAGGAGAAGATTTTGTAGGTGGATGGGACATACATTAAGGAAATCATCAAACTGCATCACAAGGCAAACCGTTAGTTGGAATTCTGATGGAAAACGGAAAAAAGGAAGGTCAAACAACACATTCAATCAGAAAATAGAGGTAGACATGAAAAGGATAAATAACAACAGGAAAGAGTTGGAAAGAATTGTTCAGGAGAGGGTTGGATGGAGAATGTTTGTGAGCGGCCTATGCCCCCTTCACAAGGAGTAACAGGCATAAGTAAGTAAGGAACTAAGTAATTGAAGTGGTATACGATCTCCCATGTAATTTTTACAGTTATATCGAAAGAAAACAAATTACAGATGTTCCGTTCAAGAAAAATGATGGTAAAGTACTTCATATAGGGGGATAATTTCCAACGGTAATCCCTCACTTTTGCGAATGGGTTATGAGTAGTATAACTCAGGGATTCAGTACTATATATTGAATATAATTTATATAATATATATTGTAAGAAAAGATTGCTGTTTCCATAAAGGATCAAATGTTAGGTTAATCCATTTCAGTTATGTATTCTTAAATATCATCACTTCCAAGAATATAAAGTTTTAAAGCATCGATCTACAAATTCCATTCTTAGTTTATACATTCATGTAAACAATACCCAGAATTTTCTGATTAGTGTTTTATTAGCGAATTAGTTTTCTTCAGGATGGGGTCGCTAACCTCATGTCCAACCCTCCTCCTTTATCCGGATTTGGGACCGACAATAATCCCCGGAGGGGTTTCAGGCCGAGTTACTACTCAGAATAACAACACAATAATCTGAAAACAAAGAAGGAAACCAACTTTGTATTATAAAATCTTAAAATGATTACTATTAGTAACTAAATATTCTAAAACTCAAAGATTGAACTGACTTAATTATCTGAATTATAACTTGCTCAAAGATATTCAGTTTAGCATTGAATGAACACTAAACAGATAGCTCTTTATCCCTTATAATCAACAGACCCAAATTTCTGAATAAACATTAGTAACCAAATATCATGTTTGTATAGGTATAACATTTAATAACTTACTTCAATAAGATATAATCATTTAATTGATAATGCTTTGTTTTTCTTTTACATCTCATAACAACAATGATGTGAATGATCAAGATATTAAAGAAGATCTTTTGAAAAATGTTAAAATACAAGTAAGTCATCTGGTTTATCGATTGGATTTTAATGCTTAAAAATGATTATATATTTTAATTGAGATCATGATCGATTAATGTTAGAACATCATTAAAGATTTGAAAGTACTAGACAACCATTTCCATCTAGTATGGAACTTCTCAAAAGTGTACACCTACGATTCTATACACGGGATTCGAACCCAGAACCATCGGTTTGGTTAAAAACAATACATTATTTACAGATCTGCCTTGAATTAACTTTTACTAGTTCCATCTTTCTTTCATTCTAGTTGCTACTTGAATTGATTTTGCTTTTCTTTCACATCTCCTCATGTTCTTCTTCCTTCATTAAGAATACTACTTTCAGTTCTTGATACATACTACTTATATCTATCCGTATAAGTACTACTACTATTACAACTACTACTATTTAGATGAATCAGCTGATAGAAACTTGTTGATAAGTGAATAATGTGATATTCAATAACATGTGATAGTAGACTTATTTTAATGTATGATAAATTTTTAAGTCAAGAAGTATGGTGTTTGTTTCTTAATGTGTTATACCTCTTTTCATTTAATTCTAAGGTAAAAATGCTTATGGAAGAAGCTGTCATCCGTGGTTATGTTCATGAAGATAGTGAAACAATTGGTAAACTTTGTTGTAAGTGATTACACGTTTTTTTTCTTTATTCGCTATTACTTACTTACGCCTGTTACTCCCAGTGGAGCATAAGACTCCGACCAACATTCTCCAACTCACTCTGTCCTGAACCTTCCTTTCTAGTTCTATTCAATTATTGTACATTCTTCTCATGTCTGTCTCCATTTCTCGACGTAATGTGTTCTTTGGTCTTCCTTCTTTTCTTTTAGCTTTGAGGATTCTAAGTGAGGGATTGAGTTTTGTACAAAACATTAACTCTCCTTGATGGATAATTAGATTCGATTGATCAGTGAATCAAGCATTAATTCAGTATAATTATAGCATAGTTTCATTGCTAATCATTCAATTTGTAGTATTAGTATAAATGGATCTTGGAGATTGTTGAATTTCATATTCTATATCATGAGGTAATATCCAGAGTTTTAGTAAGAAGCTTTGACCAATGAAATTCAATCTTGTTTGATGACATTAAAAGGTGGTTGCTCAATATTACGAATGGATTGGGTAAGGAATGTAAATTATTGGTTATTGACTGAAGTTACTGTAACCTATGGGAATCGTAATATCGATTCCTGTTTGGGTTTTGTATGAACACTGATAGGAAGCCCTGTATTAGCCATTTCCTTACTCGGCCCAATTCTAAATAGTTTTTTTAATTAAGGTCAGTCCATAAATTGTAAACTATGAAGCATGTGATACTACCTGATATCATCTGGTTTTTAGTTCTTATTGATGATCACTTCTGTTATTTAGATTAAAATGCAACTTAACAGGGTAAAATTAATCGTTTAGAAGGTGATTTAATACTTTTTAACAAAATCTGATTCTCTTCAAAAGATTCTAATTGGTTACACTGTGTGTTACCAGTCTGAGATATCATGATGGATAGTATAATGTTGTGGAGATTGTTAAGTTTTTTGATTAATATAATGAATTGACCAATGTTAAACCATAATTAAAGACCTGAAAGCACTTGACGACCATTTTGTTCTAGTGTTCAACTTCTTAACACTGTTCATCCACGATCCCACACACGGGATTCGAACTTATGACCTTCGGTCTCTCACGTGATTATTTAAACTCTAGACCATTAAGTCGGCATCCAACAGTGTTAATGCATAACTTCAATGAATTGATGAAATTCAGCAACCATCTTCCATTGTCTTCGGCGGGTGACTGCCTCAAATACGACATGGATTAGCTCCAATGGTTACGGTTTCTCACTAGAACTCATTAAATCGCATTGAGAACATAAACTTTTTTAAGGTTCCTGAGTCAGTCAGTCAGTCAGCTGCAACGTAAGACCAGGCACATACATGCATCGGTACAAGTTGACATACCTCATTAGCACAAACGAGATGAACACCGGATTCATAGAAGTAGTCACTTCAAAGGTAGTAGTATATAAAAGAAAGATTGTGTATAAGGATATAATACAGGAAGAAAGAATTAGATGGTAGAAAGAAAGACATGAAGCGATTTTAATCTCTTAGTTTAAGGGAAGACGGACAGTGTATGCACCGATGCCATTGTGATCGATTCTGAGCCATGTCACCAAGAGTCTCCAACCATTGGTTACGAAAGTCACGCGGACCCCAACCAGGTAGTCTGCATCTGCCAACATGGCTCAAACCAGAAGTTAGTGTTTTCAAGCACTGATGCCACGTTTTGGTTTGGCCACTCCTAACTTACTTCCAATCATTCCTAACACCAGTGAGCATTGCGCGTCGTGATAATCGTTGTTCAGGCATACGTAACACGTGGCCCAACCATCTCAGTCGATGAAGATTCATAACCTCATCAACTGATTTACCATCATTCCCTAATACCCTGTGTCTAACCTCACTATTACTTACCCGGTGATCCCAGCAGATCCCAGCAATATTTCTATAAGATTCCTGACACATCTTATTGACGAATATCAAAGTCTTGGCACGAAAAGCTAACTAGTTCAAACTTGAGGCCAGAAATGCGTCCGTCTGAATTGAGACCAACGGCCTTAAGCATAGAAATGGGTTAACTGGAATACTACTCGATTTATTCCTGATTCCCGCTTCGGATTAGTGTAAAGAGATACATGGTTGATTTGATGAGTAACACAACAATAGGCAGGAGGTACGTATGATTATTTCAAGAAGTTACCAAGTGTGTTCTGCAATCTGAACTCTCTTCGTGACTGGCCTCCAAATGTTCTTCCAACGCTATGTTTTCAACGTGCTTAGACTCTTTACTTAGTCTGACAATTTTCGCAACTTCGACTCCACGTTCTGCTACACACTACTTACAAACATCCTTGTGAGTCGCAACCACCATAACACGTTCACAACGCATAAATAATAGGGAAAATACAGCTATGTCCGAACTAAGCATTAGAGTTTGAAAATAGATTACCAAAGGTTACATTTAAATTACTATAGTTTTGGAACAGAAAAAGCTATGGTGATGAATCATACATCAAATGAAAGCTTATGGTTTATGGAATAAATTAGGGACAGATGTAAATGTTGGCGTTTTACATACTTTGAATAACGTGAAATAATCCTCCCCCACAATAGCTTCCGCTGTTTATCACGGCTTGACTTCCATATTATTACAGACTTTGAATCACGTATCAATCTCAGGTAAATAACGATTGAAAATCGTAAGCGTTGGGCAGCTGTTCCGTTCTATTGTGGGACCTAATATTAGCCATCCACGACACTGATACAGGTAACCAAACTGACGAACTCCTTTCTCGGGTATGGATACCCAACCTCTAGATAACTGAGCTGATGTTGAACTATATTAGTGTCTTACTTTAATCAGTTTATGATACCATAAAATTATTTACCATTGATTGTCGTCAATAATTGTTTTCTTCCCTACATAGTCGAACTCCATTGATCAAGATTTCTTATTAGAATACTAACAATTACATATTGAAAATAGTTACTGGTGAGCAAACGATTATTATCAGTATAGGATCTCAAGGAGATCATAGAATTTCCCTGAATGCATACTGTCAAATGGTAATATACTGGGACGAAACAGCTATTCCGTGCTTATTGGGATAAATTTGTAATAAAAAAAAACAACTATGAACATTCTATGATCTCTACAATACCCTTATCCTTATTATCCCAATTTGACTATTACTACAATCTGCACAAAACCCCTAGTGTTAATAATCAACATATGCTCACTTGTGACTGACTTCAAGAGGTATATCCTGGAGTTCTAGTGAGAAGTAGTGACCAGTGGAGTTCAACCAAGTCTGTTGTGAGATAGTAACTCACTGAAGACAATGGTGGATGTGTAGTTCAATTTGGTGGATTAGTTGAAGTTAGACATTAACACCGTTGAATGCCGGTTGGTTCAGTGATCTAGTGGTTAAGTGCTCGCGCGCGAAACCAGTAGATCCTGGGTTCGAATCTCGCAGGGGGTGAAGTCATGGATGCGCACTGCTGAGAAGTCCCATAATAGGACGAAACGGCCATCCAGTGCTTCCAGGTTTTCCATGGTGGTCTAGTTTCAACTGACTCATGATCTTAATGATTGAAATCACTACAATCTCCACAAAACCCCTTCTGATATTAGAAAGTATATATATTATTGTGATGTCAGTAATATCCATGACATTATATATATATATTTTTGATTATAGCATCTGTTGAAGCGGTACTTCTTTATGGAGTACGTCGAAGTATATTCACATGGATAGAAGAAGAATCCACTTATGTATTATGTCAAAAAATAGCAAAATTATGTCCAGAAGCTCAACATACATTAAATCGTATAGAATATTATAAACAAACTATTTTAAAGAAACGTAATGATTCTAATATAAAACGTAATAGATCTCCATTACGTAATCCTACAATGAATAAATCATTCATATTCAATGAGAAATCCTCCTCCTCCTCCTCCTCATCATCATCATCTTCATCAATGAATTTTACATTTTGGTTAAATGATAAACGAAATAATCTATTGATCAATGGGTAAATTATTCAATGTTTCAATGTTTCATTTTGATATGATATTGTTATATTGTTGACGACAACAAATGCACTAACAACAGACAGTTGATAGGTAGATCATTCGATTGGAAGTTATTGATCTGTTTTGCATTCTCCCTCCCTCTCTCTCTCGCTTCATATGTCTTGAGTTCAACTCCATATGAAGTTCTTGATGAGTATTACATACATACTTACGGCTGTTACCTGTCGTCGAGAGATATAAGCCACTCACTAGCATTCTCCATCCAACGCTGTCTTAGGCAATCCTTTCCAGTTTCCAATTTCCGATGTAGTTTGTTTTTTTTTGACCTTCCTTTCTTTCGTTTCGTTTTAGGATTTCAAGTCTTAATGAATATTACTGACGAGTAATTAATTAGGATGAAATAATTGTTTATTCACATACTCCTTGATTTTCAACACTACTCAATGATTTGTTAAATTATAGAATGGAAGTAACTACTTATCTGTTGGATAGAATAATTATCAGTACTGAAGACAATAGTGGACGGTTGCGCAATATCGTGAATTGGTTGAAGTTAAACATTAATACCGTTGTATGCCAGCTCAGTGGTTTAGAGCTTAAGCGTTCACGCATGATACCTAAAGTGTTGGGTTTGAATCCCATGTATGGTATCATGAATACGCATTGTTGAGTAGTCCCGCACCGTGATGAAATAGCCATCCAGTGCTTCCAAGGTTTCAATGATGGTTTAATATTCATCCACTCATGGTATCAATATCAGTTCAACAATTTCCACTATTTTACACGGAAAACAATTCATCATCAACAAACAGCACTAGAGGAGAAGCTTTTCAAGTTAGATGACTTTGAAATTTATGCATTGTAACTATTAAAGTATCAAAGATTGATAGTGGTTAGCAGTGGAATCCAGGACGTGCGTTTCATCCTATTTGGGAATTGTCAGCTCGATGTACCTGCATCCCAGAGTTGTTTTTCACCCCGAAACTCGAACCCAATACCCTTCGCTTCAAACGTCATCGTATCCTCCATTTAGCTACTGAGTCCCAAATAGTCACCACCTATCTTTGCTTAAAAAGCTTTTAACTTAAAACTTTATTAAGGCAATCCTTACAGACTGCACATATGTCAATAAGAGACTGATCAGTTGCAGTCCTAAATAACAGTGGGAAGACACAAGTGAAAAAAACAACATCAATTAAATCTAAACTTCACCTCATTGCACAAACAGATGGCTATCAGGACTCAGTAGCTAAGTGGATAACGTTCTAGCGTTAGAAGCGAACGGTATTGCGTTCGAGTCCCAGATGCAGGTCCATCCAGCTGACGAGTCTCAAATAGGACAAAACTTGCGTCCTGGATTCCACTGTTAGCTACTATCCATCTTTGCTTAAAAAGATTCTAACTTAAGGCTATATCGAGGCAATGCGCACAGGACGCATATATGCCAACAAGAGATTGATGAATTACAGTCCTAAATAACAATGAAAAGATACAAGTAAAACAATACGAAGTGAATTCCTTAAACTATCCGTTACTGAAATGATCAATGTCCAATTATTTCACAGAAACTAATTTCAACATTTGAATTCCCACTTTCCATTAGATTTTAAAAAAAAGAAAAAAAAGAAAAGAAAACACCATAATTAGATTGATTTTATATATTCAATGGTGTATTTCCGGTTTTCTTATTTTTTTTTTTACAAACAAAAGAGAGGATTTTTATCAGAAGGGGTTTTGTGGAGATTGTAGTAATTCTAATGGCTAAGATCATGAGTCAGTTGAAGCTAGACCACCATGAAAAACCTGGAAACACTGGACGGTCGTCTCGTCCTATTATGGGATTCCTCAGCAGTGCGCATCCATGACCTCACCTCCTGCGAGATTCGAACCCAGGATCTACTAGTTTCGCGCGCGAGCACTTAACCACTAGACCACTGAACCAACCGGCATTCAACAGTGTTAATGTCTAACTTCAACTAATCCACGAAATTGAGCAACACAGGGGGGCGAGGTCGTGGATGCGCACTGCTGAGGAGTCTCATAATAGGACGAAACGGCCGTCCAGTGCTTCCAGGTTTTCCATGGTGGTCTAGCTTCAACTGACTTATGATCTTAATCATTGAAAAAGAGAGGATTGTCACTTATTGAATTCTTCTTATAATCACTAACTTGGTTAGTATTAAAGATTAGAATACTTTAATACATTCAATTATATACAAGATCATTCATTGAAACAAAGTAGTTCATTGAATATAATCCCTAATCAATTATGTAATATGGTGATTACATTAATATATTGATTATTATAATCGATATTGATTGACTAAAAAGGAACCAGTTTTTTTTTGTTTTCTTTTATGGGAATGTAAATACCATAGTGACTATTTTAAAGGATTTCATGTGACTAAGCATGTATCCAATGGTGTTAATGTATAATTTCAACTAATGTTTTCGGTGAGTAACTTCCTCATATACAATGAGGATTAGCTCCACTGGTTACAATCTCTTACTAGAACTTCAAGAATTATCTTTCTAAGTTAGTTATTCATGAATACATGCTAATTATTAGGAATAGGATTATGAAGATTCTTGAGTTTTTGATTAAGTTTATCAAACAATCATCGTTAGATTATCATCCTTAAAAACCTGAATAATGCAATGTCTTGGTATTAAGTCTCGTATCTAAGGTCATTGATATACACCACTGAGCAGTTCCATAATAAAATGAAATGATCATCCAGTGATTAATAATTTCTAATACATCATACTAAGAAATAGAATAGTTTGTAATTCCCATGAAGATACGTTTTCTAATTCATAAGACAAATGGACAAAAAAAAATTATACAATGAATACTCTTATCATCTTAGAAACAAATACCCTATTCATATAAGTAATTTCACTTCAGTCAGTCAGTCAGTCAGTCAGCTGCAACGTAGGACCAGGCACGTATATGCATCGGTCCAAGTTGCCATACCGCATTAGCACAACAAGATGGTATTTATGGACTTGAATCACGTGTAAGATGTTTTTTTTTAATTTTTCTGGCATAGAAACAAGTTTAAAAAAAGGAATCTATAGATGATCAAAATAAATAAAAAAATATGATTTTTGAGGTCACTAGCTGTTGATCTATATCATATTAATAGTAAATGCAGATTACTTGGTTAGTTTCTATGCAATAATCACAAGTAATAGTTTGATATGACAATAACTCAAAATAGGTCACAATAACATAGATCCAATCACTATCTTCTATCCAACCCCACCCCCACCCCTTTTCTCAAGTCCTATTATTTATACCGAATCTATTTTATTAATATTGACATTGTTTTTATCTCTATTAGTCTGACATATATCATGGTAATTTTTAATTGGATTGTACTGATATGGTGTACAATCGTGCTAGGCACAATGTGGACTATAACAGACTGACTTAATCAGCTTCATAAATCTTTTAATCATATGTGAGCGCTGATAAGAATACATGGATGCCTAAACGAAAGTAGATGAAACAAGGACTCGAACATATAGTCTACTGACTAGGGGTCGAATGATTGTCGTTACTAAACAACTGCTTCATAAGTCATATAATTGTTTTCGATGCTCTCAACCAATATTCGCTATTTCATTTCCATTGTCATTGAAATTCCACTCATTCATCTTTGTTACATTGTAGTAAACGAGATCTCAGATGGGAGAGACTAATCTATTACTTAGTGCAAACTTACAGTATCTTCTTAAAATATAAAAACTATACACGAAATACTTCATTTGTACATCTCCAATCAGTTATCTCTCACAAAATTCATCGTTCCCTCAGTCCCGTTGTTATTACAACTACACTCTGATTACATTGCTGTTTACTTCAATTCGATCTTCTCAATCTTCTGTTGCTAGGCAATCCACTTCCAATTGCTCCTACATACTAATTATACTTTTCAACATAAATTACATCGAACACAACATTATTATTCAACATTACACTATCCATCACTATCACTGTATGTCACACACATGCATGCACGTACACTCACACTCACACACAGACACGCATACCAACAAAAGAAACACTACTCTGTGAATTTCATGAAAACACAACTGATTATTAGTGAGTCATGACTTCTCTCATTTCTAATTTACTATATCAGTTTTACACGACTGTATAACTTCAAATGTGATGTCTGTTAGATGAGATCTACTTCCATTGTTTTATACTATCTTAATGAATGTATTCATTGTAGGAGGTTTAGTGTATTTTTGAATGAAATGAATATTATCCATTGATTTCCCTAGTCAATGAGATATTGTAAATCAATGATTTTGATTAATAACTGGGTTCGAGCCTTATGTGCGGAATTGTGGATACGAACTGTTGATGAGTCTTATACTAGGACGAAACGGTTGTTGAGCGCTTGGAGGTTATCAATAGTGGTTTAGCTCACATGGACTATATGAATTTAACTGTGAAAATTGGCTAAGTTACTTTATTTCTAGTCTTTTACATATGTCCAATTTTCTATTAGTTAAGTTGTAATATGAATGACTCGAGAACGTGATTCACTTTGTTTGACTATCTATATTCTAGGTTTAATACTAATGGATACTAGTCTGAAAGATATGTCTACACTTTCTACAGAAGTTGTATTATATGTCAAATTGGTACTTATTTGAGTTATTATCCACAGTTTAAGATGTTACTCATGAATGACTTAAATATTGATTAATTACTTGTTGAGGTGAAATATTTGCACGAAATTCGAATCACACTTTATCCCTAATCACTTACCTATTTACACCAGTTACTCCTTGTTGAAATGGATAGGCCTACTACCAGTAAATCGTAATCCTTATGAATGTCTATTGTATACTGTTCAAATATCTCGTCAGTTAATTGTACTTGGATCTCATTGTGGATATTATCCCTGACACTTGAACGTAGTAGCCTTCCATCCTTAGATGTTAAGAGGGGCTATTCATTTCAAATCTAAGTGTTAAT